ACATCTCGCAGCTGCGTTCGAGCATCGTCAGCATCAGGCAGCTGGACGAGCGCGGATGCGAGGTACTGATCGAGAGCGTGATCCTGAAGATTCGGGATCGGGAGCGGCGTCTTCTCGCGAAGGTAAAACGCTCACGCAATTGATTGTACCTGCTCGACTTGAAGGTGGAGCAGCCGGTGTGCCTGGCGGCGCGGCACACCGAGGAACCGTGGTTGTGGCATGCCCGGTTCGGACATCTCAGCTTCGACGCACTCAGTCGGTTGGAGAAGATGGTCCGTGGGCTGCCCCACATCAAGCATGTAGGCGAGCTGTGTGACAGCTGCCTGGCCGAGAAGCAGAGGAGGCTGCCTTTTCCCAAGGCAGCCAAGTATCGCGCGGCGGACCAATCACGCCGGCCACAAATGGTGGTCGACAGTACTTCTGCTCGTGGATGATTGCAGTCGCTACATGTGGCTGCAACTCCTAACGAGTAAGGACGAGGCGGCGGACGCGATCAAGAGGTTCCAGGCGCGGGTGGAGGCAGAGTCCGGGAAGAAGCTACGTGTGCTGAGGATAGATCGCGGCGACGAATTCACTTCGGTGGAGTTCGCTGCGTACTGCGTGGATCAGGGTGTGGTGTGACACCACACCGCGCCGTACTTGTCGCAGCAGAATGGCGTAGTGGAGCGGCGGAACCAGATGGTGGTCGGCATGGCTCGATCCATGATGAAGGCCAAGAGCATGCCGACAAAGTTCTGGGGTGAGGCGGTGATCACGGCGGTGTTCATCCTCAACCGCGCGCCCACAAAGGCCCTAAAGGGCGTGACGCCGTTAGAAGCTTGGTACGGGCCCAAGCCGAGCATGTCCTTTCTCAGGACGTTCGGTTGTATCGGCCACGTCAAGAAGACGAAGCCGGTCCTCACCAAGCTGGAAGACAGGAGCACGCCGATGGTGCTTCTGGCTATGAGGAGGGCACCAAGGCATATCGGCTCTACGACCCACGTGGAGGCAAGGTGGTTGTCTCGCGCGACGTTGTGTTCGACAAGAAGGCAGCCTGGGACTGGGATAGTCCGGGCACGGGGGAAGCTGGAGGCTTCAGCAGCACCTTCATCGTCGAGCACTTGTTCATCCATGGTGGTGGCGACGCTGGAGAAGTGGTGCCGACCACTCTAGCGGCAGAGCCGAGCACTCCAGCAGAGGCTCCGACCACTCCAGGAGTGGTGCCGAGTGGTTCCGGAGTGGTGCCGAGCAGTCCGGGACTGGTGCCGAGCACTCCAGGAAGGGTGCCGAGCACTCCGGGAGTGATGCCGAGCAGTCCGGGAGGGGTGTCGGGTGGTCCTGAAGTGGTGCCGACCACTCCAGGAAGGGCGCCGAGCGGTCCAGCAGTGGTGCCGAGCACTTCAGCAGCAGTGCCATCCACTCAGGCGGAACAAGGTGTTAGTCGCTGAATACTTACTCTTGGTAGTAGCAGAATTCTTACTCTCATCGAGAGAGGATGACACTAGGAGTTGGGGCAATTTTCTGGTTTATTTCTCACACAAATGCCATGCCAACCTGAAGGGTTGGGGATACATATTTATAGGCTGCTAGCCAGCCAAGCATATGCCAAGATGCTAGTCTAAGATGCTGTCCTAGATGCTAAGATGCTGTCCTTGTGGCAGCAACAACCAGCAGCCCCACAAAGACCAGACCAGCCAGACTTATCCATCACAAGGGACTCCTTCGACGACATCGATCGAGTTCACCTCCCCTCCGAGCGACATCAGCAAGTTCGTGGATGCCTTCCACGACGGCGAGGAGGTGTGGTTCCGCAGGCTGGACAACATCGTCGGCAACACAGGGTCCCCAGGCCTAGCGAGTCGGCTGCTCGACGACCTAGAGCTTCTTCTCGTCAGTGCCGAGGAGCCACCCACGTTCGCGCTGGCCGAGCGCGACGCTAACTGGCAACGGGCGATGCTAGGGGAGATGAAGGCGATCGAGGAAAATGAGACTTGGGAGCTCGTCGATCTGCCTCCAGGATGTCGTCCGATCGGCCTGAAGTGGGTATACAAGGTCAAGCGGGACGAGCGCGGCGCCATCGTCAAGCACAAGGCGCGCCTCGTCGCCCGCAGCTTTGTCCAGCGCGAGGGCATCGACTTCGAGGAAGTCTTTGCGCCGGTAGCGCGCATGGAGTCCGTCCGACTGCTGCTGGCTCTGGCAGCAGCAAAGGACTGGCGCGTCCATCACCTGGACGTAAAATCGGCCTTCCTCAACGGTGAGCTGGCGGAGACGGTCTTCGTCAGGCAAGCTCCGGGCTTTGCCGTCAAGGGAGAGGAGCATAAGGTGCTCCGACTGCGCAAGGCGCTCTACGATCTACGACAGGCCCCACGGGCGAGGAACGCCAAGCTTGACGCGGCTGCTGCGCTACGTCAAGGGGACGGTGGATCAGGTGATCGTCTTCCCCAAGACCGGCGGAAGTGGGCTACGGCTCACGGTCTTTAGCGATGTAGGCATGGCGGGGGACATCGACGGACGGTGGAGCACCTCCGGCGTGGTCGTCTTCCTCGGGTCGGCTCCAATCTCATGGCTGTTGCTGAAACAGAAGGTGGTGGCGCTGTCTAGGCAGTGGCCACAGCGGCGTGCCAAGCTGTGTGGCTGCACCGGCTGCTGGGCGAGCTGTCCAGCCGAGAAGCTCACCCACCAGCGCTGATGGTGGACAACCAGCCCGCCATCACCCTCGCGAAAAATCCGGTCCTCCACGACCGGTGCAAGCACATCGACATAAGTTCCATTTCCTCAGGGACTGCATCGATGGAGGGCAGATCGTCATCGAGTTCGTCGAAACTGGTCGGCAACTCGCGGACGTCCTCACCAAGCCACTCGGCCGTCTTCGGTTCTCGGAGCTAAAGAAGATGCAGCAGGATTAGGGGAAGAATTGTAAAGTAATCTGCTGCTCTCCCAGTATACCCGTAGCAGGGGTTGGTGCCGAAAGGCACCCATGCTGTCACTGTAGCCACAGTAGGGGCAGGCGCCAAAAGTCAGCCATGCTGTCACATCTAGTCACTGTAGCAGCATGGCGATATGACATGTCTGTGTACTAGGCTTAGATGGCTAGAGTTGTATATACCGCTGTCGGTGTTTCGAGTAAACACCAACGAGTAATATTGTATTATTACGCGTTTGACCCGGATGGTGTGCTAAGAAGACACAAGGTTTATACTGGTTCGGGCAGAATATCCCTACGTCCAGTTTGTGGCTGCTTCTCGTGTTACTAGCACTGAAAGTTCGTAGTAGGGGTTACAAACGGGCGAGAGAGGGACATGTCCCAAGTCTCTGATGGAAAGAACGAATGGGTACCGAGAGCTCGGTTGCTGCTCAGCTATGTGTTTGAGGTTCGATGCTAGTGGTTTTGGTGTGATGCGGTGCGATGCTATGCGATGCCCGATGCCCCTTAATGGGACGCCCTGCTTTCTCTTTTATAGGCCAAGGGAAAGCACGGGTTACAATGGGAGAAAAAGAGGAGAACGAGAAGCAGCAGAAGTCCTTCAGGGTCGCCAGGCCTTTCTTTTCCTCCGTGCGGGCCCCGCTGACACGGCACGTGGTGACAGAGACAGCTCTATGTTGGGCGCCTGTCCGCTGACAATGCCATGCCCTGGCATTGTCAGCGGGTCGTCACGTCCCACTCTGCCCCGGCGGGCGGCACGGTGAACCAGCGTGCTGATCAGCGGCTGTACAGGGAGTAGGCAGCACAGTGACCACGCGTCCGTCACTGTGGGCGATGTGAGTTCCCTGGAATGACATGTCGTGGGGACGGGTCATGTTGAGACGTGACCGCTCCCTGCACGATGCCAGAAGTTTGACCCTGGGTCGTACTTTCTGACCCGTAGTGGTTGGCGGCAGCGTGAGCTTCCGTTAGGAGCCGTGCCCGAGGGATCGGGCGAGACGGAGCCTGTCCTCAGACGTCGGGCGAGGCGGAGCCAACCCTCAAACGTTGGGCGAGGCGGAGCCCGCGGCCTCGGTGGTCGGCAAGGGCTGGAGCCAACCCTCGGGGGTCGGACAAGACGGAGCCCGCGGCCTCGGTGGTCGGCAAGAACTGTAGTCGCGCTCTTGACCGCTCGGATGAATCAACGCTGATGGTTATTAGCTCCTCCTCTTTGGGTACCCTAGTATTGGTCCCCGACAACCGCCCTCAGGCAACTCAGTAAAGCAGTGAGTTTCAGTTTTCCATCTCCGTGCAGAGTTCCCGGCCAACGCTGGTGCCTGTGCTGCGTGTGTGTGCTCTGTTCTTACTCCCTCTTCAACCTCTAGCCTAGTGTGTGTGCGAGAGCGCCGGTGAGCGGATTGCTCACCCGTGCGAGAGATCTCGGGCCAACAGAACATGGGAAGCAGTGGAAGACTTCAAGGAACACTACCCTTCGTTTCAACTCGTGGACGAGCTGTTTGTCGGGGAGGAGGGAAGTGTTGTGGACTCGTTTGTGGGCCGGCAGTACCGGCGCCGTCCCAAGCGTCCCACCAGCCCAAGCCGTGGCTAAGGCTGGGTTCTTAGGAAAGGAGGAATTAGAGGGAGGATTTTTAGGAGATCAGTTTGATTATTGTTGGCAAGTGCTCCTAATCTATCAGGGCGCACTTGAGGATTGTAATCAGTTGTCGAAGAAGGAAATAAACCTCCCTGTGTCGGGGTGGGGTTTTCCCTTCGACGGTGGCGTCAGGCGATTCAGCCGCTGTCACCGGAGAAGAGTCCACTGCCGCCCTTCCTCGCTACCCGCTCTGCTCCAGTTCCCAATCCCGGCTGCTCTTGCACTCAACCCTCCGCTCACCAAGAAGGCCACACCATATCAGTCTAAAAATAGTTTTCGTAGGAAATCATTTATACTATTTTATTGTGACCAATCAAAATTGATTTTATTTAACTAATGGTCGAAGTTGGAGATGTTTAACTACACATTCTAGGATGTTATGCTTTATTTGGATTTTTGTTTTTCTCTACTTAAATTTAAGATGACAAAATAAACTTGCTTGTCTTTTTTTTCTTTGAACTACAGGTTGTTAAAAGATTCAAGGCACTGTCTGTACAAACTCTTCATGAATATTCTAGGTATACACATGTTATGTCTTTACTAAGTTGCTATGCCACTTTGACATAGGAACTTGTAGGTTCACCATATATTATTGTATACTCTTATATTTTCTTAATTTGCGGTTTCCTTTTTCTTCTGTTTTCTCAGAAGAACCAGGTAATAATAAGGTCAGTAATAATAAGGTCATGCTAGTGCTTATCCAACTGATGAGATGCAATTGCATTAACTAGTATGGCACCTTATAATGATCTGATTTTACCAGTCATATACTCACATACAAATGATGGTTAGTAGCTAGCTGAATTGACCCATATTGAATTTCTGTTGCTTGTGGGGTAATAATGTGCAATGAATTGAGTACTTGCATTAATTTATTTATGTTTCCCATTGCCATCTAACCAGGCCGAATAACTAAAACACTAGTCTGACTTAAGTTGAATGGTTTTGAATAATCTACTACTTACACGGTGCCAGTGAATGATATTGAGTTATATATGGGACCAAACTGAAAAAAATAGATTTTGGGCATTTTAAGGAATATGTGAAGCTGTACCTGCTAGTTTGCTCTATTTAGGAAGCAAGCTGATTTTTCATTGTGCCTAACTTTGAACACGTCGTTTACATAGATTTTCTGATATATATGAGGATCTAAATGTGTTGGAGCATATAGTTGAAGGAAGCGAGAAGCCAAGTAATCTGTCGTATCCACTTTTACAATTCATCACTGAAAACTTCTCTGATAAGCGAAAGATTGGTCATAATGAACTCGGAGAATGTTTCAAGGTAAAAAACTAATCTTTTTCTTGGACTTTTCCAACAAGTTTCGATACACCATAGCTGGACTTCATATGATCATGGCCACGCTAACACATATAATGTTATTAAACAGGGTATCGTGCAGATTGTTGTTGTGACAAGGCTTCCAGGGAGCCTCAATATTGACGATGGGGTGTTTCATCAGCAGATTGGAAATATGATGATGGCTCGGCACCAAAATGTAGTGCAGTTTCTAGGATACTGTTCTTATGCAGTAGAAAAGAAGGTAGAAATAGATGGTTACGTTCGCACTGCTGAGAAACGCGAAAGATTGCTCTGTTTCGAGTATTTAAGCAAAGGAAATCTTAGCAAACATCTTTCTGGTATGATAATATAAATGTAGCTGCATTTACATAATTATATAATACATTTAATATAATCATTTTACTTCTTTTATTTTATAACCTTCATTTTTGCCTGTTCTTCATTTTTATTTCACTATTGATTTGTTACACGTCAAACACAGAAAACACAAAATGCCCATTTGGTAGATGCATACAGTACATTCATATTGTTATTTTATTTCGCAGATGAACTAAGTGGACTTGAATGGCATACACGTTATCAGATAATTAAGGGAATCTGTGAGGGTTTGTGTTATCTTCACAAGGAAAAGGATATCATTCACATGGATCTCAAACCTGCAAGTATCCTACTAGATGATGACATGGTTCCAAAGATTGCAGATTTTGGTATATCAAAACTCATATGTATGAGTGATGAACGTTTGCGGCAGCTGTAAGTTACACACTAGAGTAGGCTAATTCATAAGGTTCCATAGAATTATCACTCTAGTTTGCCGGTCAGAAACTGGATATTGCTAAGATGCATAGGTAATAATTGTTTTTCTTTTTTTTCCCACTGCATGGTGCTAGTGTGAGTGGACAACAAATGCTTTGTATGATTCATGTTAATTGTCTCTTCTGACTTTCTAAACGTTCTTTGTTATTCTATATAATATCATGCAAGCTTACCATGGGGTTCGTTGAAAAACTCATTCCACTTTGAGGCATATGATTGATTTCCATGTTTGGAATGGTGCATTTCTTCTTTCTCTATATTTTCATACATTCCCTTTTCTTTATGTCATGAACTTTCATTTTTATCATGCAGTGGATACTCAGCTCCAGAGAGGATGTCTGATGGCGTGACGTCACGTAAGGCAGACATTTATAGTCTGGGTGTCATAATCACAGAGTTGGTGACTGGAAGTAAGACGAAGCCTAGTATTACTAACGTACGTGTGATTTGTCTCGTTTCATTTAAACCCTTTTTCATAAACCATGCCAACATTATTTTTTCTACATATTTATGCACTTTTAACTATACATTCAGACTACATTAATCGTCTATTGCATTGGCGAAGGCTAAGGAAGTCTTATTTATACTAAAAATACTTCTTTGCACAAAAACTGGCAATCTTTTGTGAAGGGTAATAAAGTCTTCAACCAAAATTTTGGCTGGTGCTATTCAAATCTTTAATTTGGCTGGGCCAGGAGACTATAATGTTTTAGTCATGTTTAATCCAACCAGGAAAATGTGGGCCAACTATATATTGCAAGGGTTATAACACGGCAGGGCTTCGTGTTAATCAATACTTTGGCTGATTTTGTCAATGATTATTGACGATGGAGCCACCGCACTAGCCACTTGATGCTCAATATTGTTGCTCAATTACCACCCACCCCCTTGGGTTTCGAACTGTAAGAGTTAGACCTTCAAATTCCTTTCTCTGTCCTATTGAAATGCTCGGCAACACCAACCAACCAAGAAAATTTAAGTCTCCACCCACAAAACACACATTGTGTCTACTAATTCTCCCATATCAAATGCACATTCGACAAAGGGACAGCTGAAGAAAGAAAACTGCACTTTTAGTTTGTTATGAAATTATAAGAGTTTTATTGTGCACGACAAAGAGCTGCACTTTTGCTAGCTCTGAAAAAATAATTTGTTCATGTTACTAGGTAAAATGACAATTTCATAATATGAGTATGACAAAAATTTATACTTTGAATTTTTTTCTTCTAGTATCCATCAAGGGTCGTTTTGATTCTTTTTTCCTGGCACTGTAGATTTTACAAGAAATTATCACTGTAATATATGGTTCAGAAATATTTTGGTCCCATAATTTTAGGATGCTTGAGTTTGGCATCAAACGATAAAATTCTGGTGTTACCCAGATAGTTTGATGAACTCCAAACGGTGTGGCTTCATGGTAATTTGTACTAAATATTCAGGTACTATTCTTAGTCAACTCAGATAAATGGCAGGTACTTTGTAGATGGGAACAAAGGTGGAACAAATCAGGAAAACGTACGCCATCGGTTCATCAAGTGACAAAATGCCTCGAATTGGCTCAAAGCTGCTTGCACAAAGACCCGAACAGAAGACCTTTTGTATGGGATATAATACGTGAGCTCAACAAACTGGATAAAGAAGATTTATATATTTGATCCGGTAAGTTCATACATGCTCGCATAAAACCGACAACCTCCATAAAAAGTCGTCTCTTGATAGGCAGCGAGTATATCACCTCGTAATTTATCTCTCGACTCTCAGGTAAACCTTGCTTGGAGGACATATTTGGAACTGGGTCACGTGAGCTTTGAGACGAATTGGAGACTGGACTGGATGCTTAGTTGAGCAGAAATGTGGCACTGAAGAACGCTTCTTCGGAAACACAACATCGAGCTCATTCTCGTGGAACATACTGCAATCCATAATTCAGATTACCATGCCAATTCACAATTTAGAGTACAATAATCTAAAGTGATCCAAATGGTCCCGAAGTTCGGTGAATGGCATTTGCTCTTCGACAATTAAATTACTGTGGACTGTCCACTTTGTTAGATATTAATGGAGGATATGACTGAAAAAAATGTGATTTACTCATAAGATCCTTAGAGTTAGAGAGGTCATAAATGGATATAATAATTATATTTATTTCTAAATGTTCATTTTTTAAAACATAGGACAAATATGGAAAATCTCTTTTTTTGGAACACAAGAAAGATGTATGTAATCTGAACGTTGCCAACATGGAAAATTTGAAAAAAAAAGTATGTAAACCTGTCATGACACCTGTGTAAGAAACATGGGCCATAGCAAAGGTTTATTGATTTTGGTGGCTAAGTGACAACAGTCATTAGGACTAACAACGTTTGCTAGTATACAAAGTACTTAGTCTTGTGGATGCAAGGGATTGACTTGAGTGAGGTAAGGTAGAGATCAAGCAATCAACACCTGTAAGGAACATCAAAGAGGAGCATTAATTGAATACCATAGACGACAAGCATATAGCTCACGACGTCAGAAAGTGAAGCTCGAACAAATGGACGTGAAGAAATATACTCAGTAGCACCAGAGAGGTGCACCAGATCTTCTGGTGGCACCAGAGCTATCCGGTGTGGTCATCGAAGATTCCAGGTGGGCCTAGTTCAAGGTAGAGAGAAGATGCCTGCAAGCATACTTCTGGTATAGTCACCGGAGTTACACTCCAGAGGCAGTGTTGGAGGCGCAGTGGAGAAACTAGAGAGCATCGGAGTTGTGTGTTGCAGCAGGGAGACCCAGTCCCTTGTATACAACCCACAGATTTATTGGGTGGTGCACCGATCGATCCACCGAAGTATTGGACTCCAACGGTAACACCAGCCACTGCCCCCAATCTCGTTGTCCCTCTCTCTCTCTCTCTCCCCCATATCTCCTCTATTCCGATGGTTGCTAGGGCGAAGGAGGTGGTGCGGTGGCTTAGACGCCAGCCTTGGCAGCGCGGGCGGGCTCCCCTCCCAGACCCTTCTCGGTGACGCATGCGGGCTTGCCATCCCTCTCTCTTCCTATCTCCTCCCTCCAATGGTGGCTAGGAAGGTGGAGGTGACGCGATCACGTGGAGGCCGCCCCTGATAGCTCGCATGGGCTCACCTCCTGGCCCCTTCTGGGAGGCGCACGTGGCCCTCTCTCCCCATCTCTCTCTCTCTCTCTCTCTCCGATGGTGGATAGGATGAAAGCTCTAGTTTGGTTTTGGTGAATTGATGAAACCCTAAGTGCTAACCTGGTTTATCAAAGTGATCATGAGATAGATAGCCCATTCCAAGTGGTGAAGCAAATGAAGATCATACCATGATGATGGTGATGCCATGGTGATGATCAAGTGCTTGGACTTGAAAAGAAGAAAGAGAAAAACAAAAGACTCAAGACAAATGTCCATTTCGTTTCTGTGATCAAGACACTTAGCGAGTGTGATCACATTTAGGTTCGATAGCCGTACTATTAAGAGGGGTGAAACTCGTATCGAAATATGGTTATCAAAGTGCCACTAGATGCTCTAACTCATTGCATATGCATTTATAATCTAGTGGAGTGCTAACACCCTTGAAAATGTTTGTGAAAAACATGCTAACACACATGCACAAAGGTGATACACATTGTATTTAGCACTTGGGAGCAAGGGTTCGAAACTTCACCGGCGGAGTGTCCGCCTGTAGAGTGCGGACAGACCGACGGTGCCACTGGCGCCCTGTACAGAAAAGATAGAGTTTCACATAGTGCACCGGACGCTGGTCACGCAGTGACCAGACTCTAAGAAGAAAAGTGATCGGACTCTGGCTAAACACTGTTCAGCGTCCGGTCCCGCTGACGTGGCAGCATAGAGAAGAGGAGAAAGGACCGGACGCTGTTGCTGCGTCCGATCTTGACCGACCGGACGCGTCCGGTCGCAGTTGAGCAGCTCGGGGAGCTCTCTGGACTCGACCGGACGCTGCCCCTCATGCGTCCGGTCGTGATCGAACTGACGCGTCCGGTCATGAGTGGAACCTTACTGGAAGTGATCGGACACTGGGGTCCTGTGTCCGGTCCGACACTGTAGAGCGTCCAGTCACAACTTAAATGTACTGATGACCGTTGAGATCGGGTGATCAGCATTTAAAGCAGGGGCCACATGGCGTGCATCGCGCGACCGGATGCTGGGGTCCTGCGTCCGGTCGATTTGACCGGTGCCTCCGGTCGCCTCAATTTTCAGTGGACTGAGGAGCCAACGGCTCTATTTCATGGGGGCTTCTATTTAAGCCCTATGGCTGGCTCAAACTCACTCTCTTGATCATTTGCATTGACATAGCAACCTAGTGAGCTTAGCCAAAGCCCTCCCACTCATCTCCATCATTGATTCATCATCTTTGTGAGATTGGGAGTGAATCCAAGTGCATTGCTTGAGTGTTGGCATCTAGAGGCACTTAGTGTTCATGTTTCGCTGCGGGATTCGCTTGTTACTCTTGGTGGTTGCCACCACCTAGACGACTTGGAGCAGCGAGGATCGTCGAGCAGAGGTTGGTGATTGTCTCCGGCTTCGATCGTGGTGATTGTGAGGGGTTCTTGACCTTTCCCCGGCGGAGAGTCAAAAGGTACTCTAGTAAATTGCTCATGGCTTGTGTGATCCTCATCTTGTGTTGGTTGTGCGGCACCCTATTGAGGGTTTGGCGTGTGATGCCAATTAGAGCGTGAACCTCTAAGTGAGTGAATCGCCACAATGAGGACTAGCTTGCCGGCAAGCAAGTGAACCTCGGTAAAAAATCATTGTGTCAACATTTGATTCCAAGGTGATTGGTATTCATTGGTATTCACTCTTGTGTTTGATTGGTTCATTCCTCGACTCGACGGTATAACCATCTTCTTCTCTCTCTTTACATTACCATAAACTAGTTGTCAAGCTCTTTAGTGCAGCTAGTTGTGAGAGCTTGTTAGTTTGGTTAGTGTGGCTCTTTAGTTAGCCTTTGAGAGCACACAAACTTAGTGTAGTGATATAGCCATTGTGTGAATTGCAACTATAGAAACTAGAATTGTGGTATGTGGCTTACATTTTTAGTAGGCTAACGCAATACTCGCTTCGCCTCATATTTGTCTAACCGGTTTGCTAAGTGTTATTATAAAAATTTTAATAGGCTATTCACCCCATCTAGCCATTAGGACCTTTCATACGATGGACAAGGTGGAGCGGCTGCGTAGTGGCTGAGGGTGGAGTAGACGAGGTAGGCCGATGGTAGCGCGAGCATGGCACAGATGAAGCCCTGCTCAATGCTCATGGCCAATGTCATCTAGATTTGCGAGGACACCGGCTAGATCTATGAGGAAAAAACCTAGATCTACAATGTAACCTGAA